TTATATTAAATTACTTAAACATACTCTAGTTAAAATTGGAATTAACATGATACAAAATCAAAAATAATAGCGATAAGTCAATTTAGATAATATTGTATAAGTCAAGTCAATTTAGTTATTCTCAGTCATGTAACAGTCAATTATTGAATTTCATATTTGTCTTCGAGATATTCTTTCACACAGTAGTATGCCTTATTAAGAAGAAATTGCTTCAATAGTATTTTAAACTTATCTATATTGGAGCATCTCAAAATGTGTAATGGTAAATGGTTATAAATTCTAGGGGCCATACAAAATACACTGTTGTTAAATTGGGCTGTGTTGTTTGATGGAAAACATATTTTTTGATTATTACGTTTACTGTGTAGGCACTCAAATAAAGAAATATGCGTAGTAACAAAAACGGCTATCTCATATATATAAAGGCACGGAAGTGTTAACAGTTTCAGACTAATAAAAAATGGTTTACAACTATCTGTCTGTTTTAACTTCACAATGGCTCTTACACATCTTTTTTGGGCCCTAAATATCATTTCATTATCTACAGAGTTACCCCAAAAGATGACACCATACCTTAACACCGATTCTACATAACCGTGGTACGCAGTGATGACGGCAGATTGATTCACAATTGTTCCAAGTCTATATAGAGCATAAGAGAACCGATTGAGTTTAGTACAAATATCTTCCACTTGAGATTTCCATTTTAAGTTTGAATCGAGATTGAGGCCTAAAAATTTTGCATTTTCGACTACATTAATTTCTTGTCCGTTGTAGCAAATATTAATATTTACTAAATTATTTTTCACGTTTCTAAATGTCATTAGATTTGTTTTATTTAGATTAATTAATAAATTATTATTTGATAACCATTGAATTATTATGTCTAATGTTTGATTTATATCAGATATCATTTGATTTTTGCTTGTGCTTGTAAACATCACTGTGCTATCGTCTGCAAATAGTACCATATCTTGATTTATATAATTTGGTAAATCGTTTATATAAACAAGGAATAACAATGGACCAAGAATACTTCCCTGGGGTACTCCTTGAGTTACTTCGCGATATGAGGATGAGTAAACTATTTGTCTATACGTTTTTGAGCATATACGGGTAATTTGTGTACATTGTTGTCTATTTATTAAGTATGTTTTTATGAGATTGAGGACATTTCCTCGGACTCCGTATGCTTCTAGTTTACTTAAGAGGATACTGTGATTAACATAGTCAAAAGCTTTAGTTAAATCCATATATAGAGCAGATACTAAGTGCTTATTATTAAGGCTTGTCATTACAGTACGCAGAAATTGAAAGACAGCTAAATTTGTACTTTTATTCTTTCGAAATCCGACTTGTTTCTCTGTGAATATTTTATATTTTTCAAAGAAATCATTAAGGTTGTGACTTATTACCTTTTCAAAAATTTTAGAGAATATCGGTATGAGTGCAATGGGTCTATAATTTGCAACATCACTCTTGTCTTTTTTCTTAAATATAGGTTTAACTACCGTTTTTTTTAATTTATTTGGGAATATTCCAGAGGCTATACTTAAATTTATGATGTAGGATAAAACGGATGAGATGATGGTTGATACATTTTTTAATACCTTTGTGCTAACGTCATCATAACCTGTGCTATTTTTATTATTTAATGACTTAATTATATTATTAATATCGAAAGGAGTAGTTGGGTTCATAAATAATGAGTTATAAGAATTCGGTACTTTGGAGTTAATATTCATTGCTCTTATATTACTGTCATTTCCATTTATGAAGTAATTGTTAAATAACTCTGCGATATCTTTGGGGTCATCAGTGATCACTCCATTATTATTGATATGTCTGATTTCCTCTTTAATCACATTCCTGTTATTATAATTGATGATTGACCAAGTAACTTTAGATTTGTTTGAAGCTGTTTTGATTTTATAATCATTCTGTGCCCTTTGTGTTAACTTTATTATTTTGTTTAAACGTTTTGTGTAACATTTGAACAAATTTCTGTTGTGTGTAGTCGGATGTTTTCTATATTGCCAAAGTAAATTTCTTTTTTGTTTTGAACATATTCTTATACCTTTCGATATCCAGGAAGGTTTCTTCCGAGGTGCTCTTTTTATTAATATAAATGGAAAACATAGATTATAAAATAAGATGAATAATTCGTGAAAATAATCGAATGCATAATTTGGATCAGTCGTATTGTAAACTTCGTTAAAAGTGAGTGATTTTAAGCATTGATTGAATTTTTTCATGTTTTCTTTACTATAGTCTCTAATTTTTACTAACCAATGTGAGAGAGAACAAGTTTCTTTAACTTTACAAGTTAACATTTGGGTTGAATGATCAGACAGAGCAAATTCAAAAATGTTATATTTACTTCCTTTAATATTGTGTATAAAATTATCTAAACAAGATCCACTTACAGTTCGCGTTGGCTTATTAATGGTCAATTTAAGATTATAGCCAATAATTGTTTGATTAAGCATGTTAACCTCTTTGCTCTTTTTTAAAGTGTTTATATTGAAATCTCCACAAATAACTATTTTTTTCCTTGTGAAACACAATGTAGCAAGTATGTCATTAAATATAGAAAAAAACTGATCACAATTTTGTGTATTGTTTCGAGGTGGTCTGTAAATAAACACTATTATTAGACCATGTAATGTAAGTTCTATGGCACAGCACTCAATTATACCAGAAATGCCATATTTTTCTATAGAATTTAAGATTTTGAATTCACGATGATTGTGAATCAAAATACAGGCACCGCCATGGCGGTTTTTACGGCAAAAAGAGGCTGCAAGTATGTAGTTTTCTATGAATAATAATTTGGTGTCACCTTTCAACATATTGTGCTCTGTTAAACATACTACATCAACTAGAATGCCCTGTTCCGAAAGAGAATTGAGATTTAAAGCTAAAAGATCTGACTTACTTATAACGCCATTAATGTTTTGATGTAATATATTTATATGTTTATAGTTAACGAAAAAATGTTTTAGATTGTTCCACAATTACATGGTCATCACATGCATGTAACTCTGGTGTGGGAAACCGAGCGTCATCCATAGAATTTAATGCAATTGGCGATTTTGTAGTGCATTTACATATATCGTTACTTATTTCATCAATGCTACACGTAGTGACCATGTCATATGGAAATATTGATATGTCGACAAGTATTTGTTGCATAATATTTTTATATATATTCTTTAATCCATAATTGCTGATTTTACCAGATTTGTAAGAAAACATGTCATACGAGAGATTATAATTCGAATCAAAAATATATGCATATTTATAGTATTGCACATTCATGAATAATAAATTATTAAACATCTCTACTTTATAATTAAATATCGGGGCTCTGCATATATATGTAGGAACACATAATATTATATTTGTATGAGATATACTTTGTAAACATTCCTGAATAGATTTGACCAGCTCAGAACAATTTACAGTTTTTTTAAAGTCATGTTCTCCAATCAGGATTAAACAGTAGTCATTGATGGTATAGTTTCGCAGCTTTATTTTAATATCTGCTAACATTTCCAATACTCCACAGTTTTGAGTGATGTAACGACAGTAGTTAAATTGGTCAGCAAATGTGGATTCAATATCCCGTAATCTACCTTTCACACCACAATTGGTTAAAATACAGAGTTTCCGTTTTTCAATAATTGTGCGAGTTTTCATTGATTCTTTTTTACTGACAATATCACTGCAATTTTTTGTTCTTTCTTCAAACTGTTTGGTGGTTTCTTCCTTGTCTGAGAAAATGTCATTTGTTAAATGTATGTTTGTATGTTGGATCATTGGGCTACTCAAAGAATCTTTATTTTTATTTTTACGGTCTAATCGTGATGTAAGCCGTGGACTCGTAATAGTTACTTTTTTGTATAAATCGATCGTTTTGTTTGCTTTTGACAAGTCTGATTTGAGTTGTACATTTTCGCATGTTAAATGATCTATTTCTTGGTGCGCAGATTGTAATTCACAGGACAGCCTTTTTATAGTCTCATTCAGTTCTATTATATCCTTAAAATCTTGGGACTGCGTGTCATCCGGAAGGCTTGTCACAGTGCAATCAAATAATGACGAAGTACTAGAATCATTCATTGATTTTGTTCGTTTACGATTTCTGACTGTTACATTTTCATCCATAGTGTAACTTATTATTTTGAAATTCCTTTTTATTTTATAGCATATATTAGCACTAAATATACTGAATCATAACAAATATCTGGTTAATATCACGATAAGACTATTTATTTACTATTTTTATTTACGAGCTTGATGTTTACGGTGTCACTTTGACAAGACAAGTTGGATTTGGTGATTTCCGATTTGAAGTGTATTGTACAAAGAGTCATGCCGTTGTCATCGCCGGAAGATGGCCACCATCCCTCTTTATGTATTGACTTAAGTATTGATTATACTCCAAGTCTGTGTCCAGCCAACCGGATAGTACGACGTTTTCATACCGCGGATTATAATAAAATTAACCAAGAACTATCAAATCTTGTTTGGGAAGACCATTTAAATCTAAACGATATTGATACTGCTGTTGATAACTTTTATAAAATTGTGTGTGATGTGATATATAGGTTTGTCCCACTTAAAGTCGTTAAAAATAATAATAAATATCCAGTCTGGTTTAATAAGCGTCTAATTAAACTCATAAATAGAAAACTTAAACTTCATAAAAAATGGAAAATTTATGGTAGACAGTGTGATTATGACAACTTTTCAAATACACGGCGTGATATTAAAAATATGAAGTTTTGTGCTATGAACGATTTATTAATCACGCTGAGAGAAATATTCAAGTTGACCCAAAATACTTTTGGTCGTTCGTTAAATCAAAGCAAAAAAGCTGTGATATACCTGATACTCTATACTTTGGTGATATATATGCATCAGATGGTCAGACAATTGTTGATCTATTTAACTCATTCTTTCATTCTGTATTTGAGCCACCTGGCAAGAATGTTATGAACTGTGATACGGAAAATAATAATTGTATAATTAATTCTGTTTACATTGATAACGTTAAAGTCGAAAAATATTTGAAGAATCTCGACATCAATAAAGATACTGGCCCAGATGGTATTCATCCAATCTTCCTCAGACAATGCAGTAAGCATTTAGCAGCTCCTCTTTCATTACTCTTTAATATTTCTTTGAGGCAAGGTGTGATGCCCTTGCTTTGGAAACAATCCATTGTTGTTCCCATATTTAAGAGCGGAGACAAACACAATATAGCTAACTACCGTCGTATCTCCAAACTATCTGTTATACCCAAGCTATTTGAAAAAATTATATATGACTCTTTATTTCCTGTAATTAAACCGCAAATAGTTTCAAGTCAGCACGGTTTCATCCCTGGTAGATCCACAGAAACTAACTTATGCGAGTTTCAGGATGAAACATTGGAGGCCATGGAAAGAGGCTATCAGGTTGACGCCGTGTATACCGATTTTTCAAAAGCGTTCGATAAAATTTCCCACAATCTAATGATTGCTAAACTTGTAAATGTCGGTATACACGGCGATCTCTTGAGATGGCTAACCTCATATCTGCGTGATAGGTCTCAGGCAGTAGCTGTGAAGGGCTATACCTCGAGCTTTGTTCCGATCACTTCTGGTGTGCCTCAGGGTTCTCATCTCGGTCCTTTTCTTTTTAATATATTTATAAATGGTGTCATGCGTAGCATTCAACATTCAAAAGCATTACTATACGCTGATGATACTAAAATATTTACCTTCGTTAAGAATTTCGAACATGCTTTACTATTTCAAAAAGATTTAAACAATTTTTATGAATATTGTCCGGCTAATAATCTAAAATTAAATATTGATAAATGTTATACTATATCTTATTCCCGAAAAAAACGACCGATTGTTTACAATTATAAATTAAATAACATTTTGATTAAAAGAGTAACCGAGGTGAGGGACCTGGGGGTATATCTAGATAGTAAACTAGACTTTGCGTCTCATATTGACAAGGCTACTGCCAAGGCTTATAGAATGTTAGGTTTTGTCTTCCGACAATGCAAGGACTTCAAAAACATAAACACTTATATTATGCTGTATAATTCTTTAGTAAGAAGTCATCTTGAATACGCATCTACGGTGTGGAACCCTATTTACGCTACTTATGTGGAACAAGTAGAAAGGATTCAAAATAAGTTTCTGAAAATACTTAATTACAAATTTAAGGATCATTCTGCGCTACATCATTCATTAGAATTACGACGTGAACATAGAGATCAGGTGTTTCTGTTTAAACTTTTACATAACTATATAGATTCCCCCTTCCTTATAAGTCGTATTACATTTAGATGCCCTAGGTTGAGTGCTCGCTCCAATGCAGTTTTCTCTACTCCTTTTTGCAGAACTAAGTATTCGAAAAACCGGTTTCTGGTTCGCGCTTGCAACACACATAATGAGCGTTATAACCATATTGACATATTTAACTGCAAATTAAATAGTTATGTTACATCTATTAGACAAGTTGATCACGCTTAGGTAGTGTTTGTACTTCTTGTCCTCTATCTGAATATAAAATTACCTTTACTAACATTGGTATTATGTATTTATATTTTTCTCTTTGGCAAAACAGAAATATGTACTTCATTTAATTATGTTTAAAGTTTTCGCAATGTAAATCTTAGCGTTGGAAACTGTTTTGGCTAATGTATTATTAACATTCATCTTACATTCAAATGTGATATAAAAGCTGTAAGTTTCTTTTAATAAATAAAAAAAGGGCCTCCGGCCACCTGCACTCACCAAGCGAAACGCAGAGGTAAACCTCTACTTCACGCTGGTATTCTATGAGGTCGTGGTACCACCCCGGTTCAAGCCGGCCTATCCGTGCGACAGCAAAAGATGCCGCGTGGCTCTACCACTGTTATAATATTACAAATTCGGCACCAGATGAGAGAAAATATCCTTAAAACAGAGCCAAAAAAGAGCACTGACTCTGCCAATATAAGAATCAAATATAAGAACTTTGTTTGTGCCAATTATTGTGCACGTTCCATGTGACTAGCAGTACTGCCGAGTAATTTTTACCACCTTACGCCGGTTGAAGACATATCTTCGCAGCAGTATGAGAGAAGATTGCCTAATAGACTGGGCTTAATGCATATTCATAGAGAAAGGGCAGATAGATTGCTACGAAGATGAACGCTGAAGAAGTACTTGACACCTTCACCAGAAAACATAAAAGAAAGCTATCTCTAATAAACATGTAATTTCTCATTATTTAATCTTTATTACAAGTATTTTTAATAGTTATTCTTGTATGTATTTGACAAAGAATTGATTCCAAAAACAGCATAGTACAACATTACGAGTATGAACAACACTTGACCCATGGCCTATGTGCAGCTTTCAGAAATAAATTCTAGATCCGCCGTTGAGAGCTAGTAAGGTGATAATTATAATAAAATGCAAAGTATACCAAACTGATTGTTTTTTATTAAAATATAATTATGTATACAAGTTTTATACCCCCATAATATCTTATATTATATGTACAATGTACAATTTCATTGCTAACATTCAATTTACACTGTTTTTATACACTCAAACTATTCGTTTTGAACGTTATAAATTTATGTTTGTATTTTATTATAAACTTAAAAACAGATCTGATATTTAACAATATATCTGTTAATAGGTTCAATTAAAATATTTCTTCTTCGGTAATATTATATATAAAACTGAATTATTTATGACTTGCAATATTATAGTGGTCATTTTAGTTGTAGTTTATATATTTAATTATTATTCTGCAAGCCAAAGACGCATAAAATTTTTAGTCTTTTTAATATTATGTCTGTCTAAATCGAAGTTGGCCTATATATTTTAATGACAATTTTTTATTTATTGGTAAGTTGAAATTTTTACCTTATAATATTTGGTAAAAGTCGACAATTACTGATTAACAATAAAATTAACTAACACAAGCGTTTTGAAAATACTATATCCTATTTGTATATGTACCATAATCAACTTAAAGCAACACGTTATACGCTGGTAGCCACGACAGCTGGAGTTTCTTTGTAGCCTACTGTATATGTGTAGAAAGAGGAGACACATCCACTAAGCCAATAGAGTATCAGCCCCCAGAATAAACACCGAACAACCAGGTCAACGAACCACATGCTGCAAAAACAGAAGAAAAATGTATTTATTTATTTAGTTATTTTTTATTTAATCTTTCACAATGTTTAGAGGAACAAAAAAGTATTGTAATGAAAGTATAAAGCTCTAACACCGTTACACAAATCGTTGGGTGTGTGGGCTGTGGCGGTGACATTGATAAGATGGTGGAATAGCCCTGCAGATGTTAGAAAATATCTCCTTTTCATCAGCTCCTTTCAGTTCACATGAGCTGTTGTTATTGTAGGAAAGACGTTCCATAACTACCACGCATGGCAGGCCGATTGACGATTGCATTGCCAAACGTCTCGTACCTTTAACACCAGTGCCTGTCGTTAAACTCTATATATTTTACATATAATAAACTTAAGCCGTGTATTGGCGGTGTAAGAATATCCACTACCCCATATTATCATCCCGTGGGTTTCGTAAGAGGCGACAGAGGGAAATTGAAACAGGTGATAGGCAGGAGCATTTTCCTCGTAATAATAAAACAACTCAAAATGATAAAAAATTGCGGAAGATAACCCGCTCTCCAGGCTCAACTATGGCAAAATCCTCCTTATGAGCAAACGATGGGGGAAGCCTTTCTTCAGCAGTAGACTTTTATAGGCTGTAATGGGATGGATGGATGGAAAAGTAAGAAAGGTACACCACCATATATAAAAGGTTATATATTTCGATATTTCTTTTCTATAGTCCCTCTTACGAAACGCATGGATATTGGGTATTGAATTAAAGATTTAGTATAGTTACAGGCTGTGCATTCCATCTTAAGCCTTAGAGAATACATACATCTTCGTTTAGAGTTTGCTGCAGGTGTCCATTGACTGCAGTAGCCACTTACCATCGGGTTGACTATAATTTAGTTGTTACTCCATTTTTATAAAAAAATATTTAAAACAAATAAATTTGTTTGTTACTTACATTTTCATATGCCTTCTGGCTGCCGGTAATGTGTCATCGTACTCTTTTAGAATGAATATTCGAGCCGCTCTAATGCAGTCTTCGAAATATTTCGATATGTCAAGACCTAAAAACATGATATCATCCAGAAATTGTTTTATAAGATATTAATATACATTTATCAGAAACAAAAACAGAAACAGAATGAATAATAATATCAAGATACGTATTAATATTAATGTTATAATTGCAGTTCAAATGGGCATTACGGACCACGCTATTACAGAATATCACGTGAAATAACTTAATACTGCTGTATACTGGTAACGAGGCATTCTATTTTAGTTCACAGGGGTAACAACGCAAATAAATTTCCTTCTTTGAGGATAGATATGTAGGTGTTTAAAATTAGGAATTTAAAACGTGGTAGAGCTATGCTGCAGCTATATCAGTAGTATAGTTGTAGTACTAATAGGTCGGCTTGGCCGGGGTAGGACCACGCTCTTACAGAATACCAGCTTAACACTGCTGTATTTCGTATGGTGAGTGTAGAGAACCGGAGACGTTTTTTACTGGAAAAGAGGCATTCCATCTTAGTCCTCACGGGTGACAACGCATCTGCATTTTGATTTGTAAACGAAGATAGATGTAGATGTCTATGGGCCACAGCAACCACGTACCATCAGGTGGAATGTATGCTCGTTTGTCACCCTATTCTATAAAAAAAGGTGTTTATGGGCCACAGTATCCACGTACCATCAGGCAAGTTTTAGACTCGTTTATCATCCTTATTGTACAGGGTTATTTTGCAATAGCCGATTTAATTACTCATAAGAAAAATTAGTAATATTTAATAAAACGATTAATGTCAAGAATCATTATGATTCATTGCTCATTTTGAACATTCTACTGAGAGTGATAGGAGTGTATCAACGGAATGTTGTTTTTCTTTTATCGAGAAAGACAAGATTTCTAGTTGTTTCAACTAAGGAATGCAGTCAGCGGTTCCACGCCTTGTTTAGTTTGTTTTTCTTAACTACATCGACTCCTATCTATTTACACCAACATTGATGTTTACATCTGTTCTCTATATAAGTGATGTTTTCCATGTTAAATGGAATGTCTCATTTGAGTCTTCAGTTCTCATCTATCACCTTAGGTGACGGATGAGCCTACGTCAGGGCATCCATCCAGAATATCATTATAAATAAATAGATGAATTACGTCAGTGAAACATATACTCACCAATTGCATCGACTTTGTAATCCCGTCTCTCCCGCGTATTAAGCCTCTGTCTTACAGTCTGAGCAATATCAGACTTGAAGTCCCACTGATTGTTTGTATAATATTCAAACACTTCAAATCCTTTGTTGATACGACGATGAACACGCATTAATCTGAAAAATATTTATTTATTTATATATGAATACGTCGTAAAACATTTAACATAACTAAGATTTAACGTCATCATTTCATCAATTTTTTCTTCTTTACCAACTCGCATTATTCCATTTTTCTACCGACTTCAAAAAGGAGCCGGTACTCAATTCGACTGTATGTGTTGTATGTGTATTACCTCATAACTTTTTACTGGGTGAACCGGTTTCGATGATTCTTTTTATTAAGGTCTAACCAATAGTTTTTGAGTTATTCTTAATAATTTATATTGAAGTAAGTTGTACAAAATTTTTAATTTTAAATTATTTAAGTATATTACACAAGGGCCTATAGGGCAAATTTATCATAATTTCTCCTATAGTAGAGAAAAATTACTAGCTGTCTCGCAACTTTGATGCAGTTTCTTGTTGACCAGAGTACTTCTGACATACATTGAATGTCATATGCCATATGGTCATATTTTACCTTACTGGCATGGTGGATTTAGACTACTACAGCATTTTCTTTTAACTATTAAGTTGGTACTTGCACATTGTTTATATATGTATAAATAAAATAAATAAATTCTTTATTTACTTCACAAGATGTTTTAACAGAAATAAGTGGCTAGAGTCTCCCTTTAAGCACAGAGCGCCTGTAGTAGGAGGCTCCGCTCTTCCACAACTTCACAAACAAAATCTTATGAAATGCTTTTAGATAACTAATATAAAAACGTGTATGTATACATGTATCAAATTGCCAAGGAAGTGAAAACATAGAGTTATCTTAATCAATCTAGCTGCTTATGTAGCGATAACTAACGAGATTCTAATTCCTATCAACAATGAATAAAAAAACCGTATTGAAACTTTTTTTCAATACAGATTGTCATAGATCCTGACACAAAAAGCTATAATTTATATAGTTCGCAAAAATAATTAAATTAAATTAAATAAATAAAAAATTGCTATTCTTCTACATTTACCATCTTTTACAAAGCCTACGGGACGAAATTGTATAATAACGAAACGAAAAACGAAATAGGATAATAATTAATTTTCACGAATTAGTTATTTGTTAATTGTTTTATATAACAACAATAATTTCTATGTTATTTGTTAGAAAATACTGTAACTTAGCTCTTTACTAACGCGTTGATGTCTTTTATACTGAGCTAAGTTTATTGCCGTCTTGTTAACTTTTATTTGGTTTACTTCAAAAAAAAATTCATTTACTTTTATTATCAATGCAGACATTAAAAACTAACATTAACAGTAAATTTTCTCATCTTTAAAAAAATAATGAAATAAATTAAAATATTTACGGTATTGTTGGTAATGTGATGGCAAATTAAAAAAATCTAGCATCCCTCTTCTATATTGTAGGGTGTCATTAAAAGTACCTTCGGAATATGTCAAAAAGGTTTTATAACGTCCGATAGATGGCAGTATGATAAGATTAAGTGTACGCAATAGACGAGTAATTCCCTGATACTTCGTAAAATGGCCGATGTCAAACAGCGAATAGTTACTATAATAAAGAGGAAGAAGGTAAATTTGTGCTAACTATTTAATCCAATAAAGCCAAAATGGCTTACTTTTTACACGTGAGAACAAGCATACACCAGAAAAGGGACGGAAAACATAACTTTAACAAAAACTTAAGTCAAGGTTCTCATAAATAAATAAGTTCTATGTGGTAGAGCCATGCTGCAGCTATATTATGGTTGTAGCACGAATGGGTCGGCTCGACCGGGGAAGGACCACACTCTCACAGAAAACCAGCATAAATAGCAGCTTAACGCTGCTGTGTTTCGTATGGTGAGTGTAAAGAACCGGAGACCCTTTTTACTGGCAAAGAGGCATTCCATCTTAGTCCTCACGGGTGACAACGCATCTTCATCTTGAGTCTTTATTGAGGATAGATGTAGATGTCTATGGGTCACAGTAACCACTTACCATCAGGTGGACTGTGTGCTCGTTTGTCACCCGATCCTATAAAAAAAGTTTTATTATATATTATAATTTATGTACAATTTATTATTTACTTGTCAATTTTACGGATAATTAATACAACTTTAATAGAAGTAAAGTTAATTTAGAATAGAAAAATATATTTTAAGCATCGCTCACATGTCAAGTAACCTTAAGCCTTGTTTGTCCTCTAACTGTGATGAAACATGTTTTTACTTTATTTAACCTTAACGGTCCAAAACATATTACAAAACATTCAATTTTTTCACTACTTTCACAAAAATTGACCTAATAAGCTTATATAATACCGCTTTAAATCACTTTATTTCAAAAACGTTGTGGTATCAAAAATTATATTAAAGGGTTAGTGCCCATGCATACCTATATCTATCGACGATAACTTTATATTATACCAACGACACTTAAAGAAATTTTTCGAACCAGATTCGAAAATAATTGTATTCGGTGTATATTTTATTCATCATTAAGTAGGATATTCATTGATTTTTTTATGAGCAGTATATTGATTGGTTAATTGAATAAGTGTAATTATCGTATTTAGTGTAAATGATCGGTAACCATTGAACAAATAAACATCAACACACCATGGAGTGTACATGCATTCTACAGACTATATATAAGAAGATTCCCTTTAAATTATGTCCTAGTCGGTTGAGTATGAATTACAAAAGCGGTTGCATTAATATTATTTTGAGTATGGGTTTTATTACCATTTAAATCTCATGTCGCCTGAGCTTGTTCCAACATATCGATCCTAAACCATTCTAAAACTTTTTATCTGAGCGTATTACTAGGATAGGACTTGCCTAGGATTAGATAAGAGCGAATAACGCAATTTGGCAAAAGCCCTGACTAGACACCGCTGCTTAAAAAGCAGCAAATTCTGTGACTTAGAAATTCAAGGATGTACAGATTCTGGTCAGTTGCAGACGAACACTTCTGCATATTCTACCTGATTCCGGACCTTTAAGGATCAGCGCACTAAGAACAGCAAAATTTCGCGCAATTTTATAAGTAACTAATTTAATAATTAACTAAATTACAGCTGAAACAGAGTTAAAATAAGCGGGCAAGATATAATTGCCAGTAGTATGTATATATTCACGTATGTTTTACGCAGCAACGCAACATTCGCGTATATGCTCTAACATATTTGAGCATATAGTAGCCATCAACGCTTGCGCCTATTGGCTGTCGCAGTATGTTATAAGCACATGGTTAGTATCACACTAGTTCACTTCTAAAAATTTAAACACATACTAAGTTTTCTAAGCGATAATGGCGCACATGAGCATTAACGAAACTGCTCAAGCTCAGGCAGTAAGTAGTGCGAATGTTCAAGCGTTCATTGCGGCAACCGAGTATACGTAGTGAATTTTTACTACACTTTGCTGTTCAATTTCAAATGAACCCAATGCGCATAGAAACTAAGCTCAAAGTAAGTATAAGTACCCTACAGTTAGGCAACTCTTGCAATTAACGACATTAATTACAACTCATGTCGCAAGACTATCTCATGCTGATGTGTTTCATACGTACAAGCCTTAAATCGTCAACAATTGCTGCAAGCGACTGAATAAAGTTCTAACGCAGTACTGAGTCAATCGTATATTTTCCACTCTACTCAATTGTGATGTATGCAATCGGCGACCGCAACCATTCTCTAAGGTAATATTTATTCTGCGTAAACAAACTTTGCACAAGTTAAAATTGTTTACACTACACAGGATGTATTTGTAAAAATGTAGGTTATTTTAAGAATAAACCAATATTCAAATAAATATCGTAAAATTATACTCACACAGGTTTGTATCCAAGGCAAAATAGCAAAGTATCAATAATGATTGCTGGAATCCAATGGAAGAACAAAAGGCATATATTATGATGTAGTCGAGAATGTTTCATTGATCCGCCGGGATACCTGATATTAAAAATAATACATAATAGTTGTAATACTTGTAATATAAACAAGCATGTTAAATACGAAAAAATATTGCATTTAACATCACAATGTACATAATTTATTGCGTTTAATTTTTAAAAAATATAAACTATTTTGGACGTGGGATAAAAATAAGTTATCATTAAACACGATAATATTAGTAAAATTAATTTAGTGGTAACTAATATTCTCTTTATGAGTCAATTAATGGGGTAGGCTTATGTTTAACAGTGAACTTTGATTGGCTGTAAATATGAAAAAAAATTACTCTTACCATACGACTCCATTTAAAGGCATTCTGTCCATAATGATTTCTCTTCCCGCATCGATCATCTCTGACCATGTAACCTTGATCTCAGCAGATGACGTGAAATTTATTACATTTGAAGTCTTGTCACTGAAAATTTCATGTAAATATTACGCAACTTAATTTATATCAATCGAAAATTATAAAGTTCGTAAGCATTGAATAATATTACAAGTTAATATTGAGTGGGGTACGTTAAGTTCGAGTTCTGTTCAAGTTTTTATGCAATCTTGCTAATAACTTTAATAAGTTTGCACTTAACATTATTGCAGTGACGTTTCTTAGTTATGATAGAATTATGTACCCGTATTTAATATAGTTCCAAGCCAATATCATAATCCCATTTATAAACACGTCGACTGGTAGATAGTCCGCATAACTGTTGCTCTTGCAGTACATTGTTCTTATTACACCCTTGCCGGCACCTGAAAATAGCGATCAAATATGTTTTAAAAATAAATAAGAGTTTTAAAGAGTGAATGGTATTTGAAGTTTTGAAGAATTATATATATACATATATATATATATATATATATATATATACATATATATATATATATATATATATATATATATATATATATATATAATAGGATTTTATTCTGAGAGTAATTCAATATTTTATCAGGTCGTAACGCCATCTAGTAGTGCAACGAACAACACTGAACAACTAAGTTGGCCCATTTCTACATCATCCCCTGGGCTATAGCGGTTACTCTTGTTGTGCGGATATCTTCGTAACTGATATTATTGTAGCAATCTAGGCCATCATTATCGGCTTGTGTTTTCAGCAGAGAACTTGTTATGAGCTTTAATGATCATGGTGCTGAGTTAAATGCGAGATATTACATATTACTGTATTACTTTGTGTGAAGACATCATATCTATTCAAACGAAAAGATTTTGTTTAAAATTTTTTCAGCTGCATAATAAACTAAGGTAAGGAATCATTTTGTTAAAAGCTTTTATTTGTGGTACAACAAAACTTTTCAATTGTACTACTTAATGAATGATACTTACAGATATATTTTTCCATAATTGTAAATAGCTTTAAGGATAACTTGTAGAAAAAAAATGTCATTCTTTAGGCATTTTTTGTCGTATTAGCCTACGGTCTGTAACATTATTTATATTTCATAAAGTTTATAAAGCTTTAAATCAATAAATATTTTGGAATAAATTATATATATAGGGATTAATTCGATGGGTTTATCTAATAGACCTAATTCTGATGATACATCGTCATTCTTTACATTGTTTTGATATGCGATGATATTTGTGTTATGTTTCGTATTGCAATAATTGCGTTAATTGGTCACCACAGAGTGTGATAACATTTTAAGAGAATTAATTAACCAATCTCCTAGTACAAAAGAAGTCAAGTGGCTATTTACTCGATGAATTACTAGATTTTCCAATAAATGTTTTAAAATCAACACGTACGTACTGCTGGCAGTTCTTATCAGGCATGTGCGTGATTATGTTATCAGGTAGTTGATTTAGAAATCATAGCAAATATAATGTTATTAACATCTACACAATTTAGGTACTAATTAAGTCGTTTAATTTTTTAATTAATTACCAATTAAAAGACCAGTTGGTCCGTTGATGTTATCAGTCCATCCTGGCACAGGTTCTTGCCATATTGGTATAACTGAAAATGAAAATGTCATAATTCTAGAATTACTTAAGTACTGTAAGCACACAAGCTGAATTAGAGTTTTATGAGATGCAAAACGTTAGAGAAACGTTTTTTTATACAATAAGGCTGACACACGAGCTTACTATCAGGTAAACACATTGCCCATTGTATGTGGATACTATGGTCCATAGACACATACATCTATCCTCGATTAAGAATCAAAATATCGTGACAACGCATCTATCTACAGAGAAAACAACGCAAATAATCTCTAGAGATTAAAATGCAATGCCATGTTACCAGCAATATACCCATATTCCATATACATTACATATACATTCATATCCGATTCTCTACACTCACCAAGAGAATCACCGCATAAAGCTGCTATTTTATGCTGGTGTTCAGTGAGAGCATGTTCCTTCCCCGGCCGAGGCGAGCGATACATGCTACAAACATAATATAGCTCCGGTATGTCTCTACCACGTAGACATTAAAGCATGTCTAGGCATTTAGGAATAATTTAGTGTTTCATGGAGCTATTCGTACAGAGGATAAAACTTTATAAATGAGAATGGGCCCGTGCTCAGCAATGGGACGTATATAGGCTATTATTTTATTTTTGTATATTATATGCATTAGGCTTAGAAATTTTTACAAAATTAATAATTTAAATTAAATTTCACCATTGAAACTAATGTCGAATGCTATTGAAAATTATCATCGGAGCAAAATATATTATACTCCCTACTACTATTTTTATGGCTAACTCATAATTGCATTGATTAACATGTTTCGCTATTGTATTGATTAATTCTTGTCAACAAATTCTGTGTTATTAAAGAGAATTTAGCCGTGACAGAAATATGAATTAAGGAAACATAAGTTTAAGCATCTAAATTCTACTTATATTACCTATTTATAATAGTACTTACCTATGGAGGGACGTAAGATGACGACAGGGATGTGCTGCATAGCTTCGACCGCTAAAGCTTCACCTAACGCCTTAGTAAAAGCGTAAGAATTCGGTAGCTTACTCAGTAACCTATAAATATAAAAGAAGTTTTTAAATTATATAACAAGAAAATAATGGCATTCTTGTACAACTCACAGTCATTCGAAGACTTTTTTGAAATAAAAGAAACGAGTTAAACACTGGACGGGGTCTGTTTAATATGATTTGCTAAAATTAACCTTGATAACAAACTTTTCCGATTCAAAAAAAATATTTGATAAAATGCTTGAATGAAATAAGTAAAATTTCTACTGTGGATTTTTAATTAATAATATATACAGGCTATAAATATTCACTGCTGAACATAGATCTCCCCCATAATAATGTCTCACAGGAGGGATTATTTATTTATGTTTATTATGCCTCCCAACGGCCTATCCGTCTTAAGATAAGCATGGATAAACAAGAATCATGGGTAACGTCCATATCACATCTATGCGGGTAGTTGTTGGGAGCACTAAGGTCGAAATTGTTGACGAGTATGTTTACATAGGACAAATAGTCCGACTAGGTAAATTTAACTTCGACCGAGATTTTAATCGACGGATTCAACTCGGCTTGGCAGCGTTGGGGAGATTACGACACATCGGTTCGTCAGATATACTGAGGTAACTCAGGTGGTAAACTTGACAACGAGATTGTAAAACCAGTGCGTGTTGCCAGTGACGACTTATGGATCTGAGACGTGGTCACTGCTGGCCGTATGAGGAAGCTCAAGGTCGCTCAGCGAGCTATGAAAAGAGCTATGCTCGGGGTAAAATTAGAAATGAGGTTATAAAAGTAAAATCAAAGTAACCGACATAGCCCAATAGATTAGTAAGCTGAAGTGGCAATGAGCCGTCCATATAGCTTGAAAAATCGACAACCGATGGGGGAGCCAAGTTCTCGAGTGGCAGCTTCGTACCGGCAGCGGCCCTCCATTAGATGGAGTGACGACCTGGTAAGACATGTAGGAAGTCGATGGATGCAGGTAGCTCAAGACTTTGCTTTATGGCATTCTTTGGTGGATGTTCAGCAGTGGACTTGTGAAGGCCTGTAATGATGATGATGACGATGATGTTTATTATATTTTTGAGTGCCACCATTAATGCCTGGTCAATGGCAACACTTGTTACCACTAGCGCCCTCTAGTATCGATTGGCAGAACTAGGAGAGTCAAGATCCTTCTAGAAATTTCCATGGAAGAACTTTCTAGAACTATCGACACCTAGTCAAACGGGACCGGTATGTCGAACATTCTAGATGTTTCTACAGTAGAAAATTCTGGAACTATCTGAAGCATTATATAAGGCCGGTATAGACCGCGACTGGAGTCAGTGTTCAGTTGGCGATACAAGCAAATACTTCGAAGCGATACAACTGCGAACTAAAGTGATCAGTAGTACAATTGTGGTTTTAAGTTGGAATTAGTGTTCTGTAATTAAAGTGTCAATTTTTGTAATTCACTCGGCAGTTTATAGTTGTTTCGAACCCTAAGCTCGTAACAATATTATTTTTATTTATAGTATGTTTTTAACGTGGAACTATTTATTGACTCCCTGAAAATTATGAAGTTATCAGTGCGAAGAATGCTTTTTATAAATTCATATAAACACATAAAATATATTATTAGATCTGAGGAGGCACTTACTTTGGGGTAAGTAAAGCTACAGATTCTTCGTCCATCCATTCGACGGTTTGTATGATTTTGTGAGGATCGGCTGGAGGAGGATACGGTTTCTCTTCTAAAAGCTTTTCCTCGAGGTGACAATATGCTGTCGAGATGTGGACGAAAAGCTGCAAATAAAGAATATTTATCCGTATCGAGAGTATTAATAGTAGTGGTAAGAGAATCAACCACCTCATATATATCGTGGCTGTCGTAAGAGGCGACTGGAGGAAATAAAACAGGAAGTGGAAAGCATTAGCCTTCTGATAATAATCAAAAATAATAATAAAAAAACTAGTAAAATTTGCGGTTGCCAGCCTGTCTACCAAACATGGCTAATATTGGTGAAAGTTATATGAGTAATGAACAAAAGAATAATTGTTATTTTTAAAATTTCAACACATTAAAATTTAACAATATTTTATATTAAAATTAAAATCGTTTAGTGAACGTGTTAGAATATCTACTACATGATTTAGTGGGTGTCGTAAAAGGCGGCAGAGGGAAATTGAAACAGGTGATGAGCAGTAGCATTTTCCTGAATACACTCCTTTTTACGTGGTCGATCCATGTTGCAGCTATGTTAATAGTATAGTTGTAGCACGAATATATCGGCTCGACCGGGAAAGGACCACGCTCTCACAGAATACCAGCGTAAAATAGAAACTTAATGCTGCTGTGTTTCGTATGTGAGTGTAGAGAACCGGAGACCCTTTTAACTGGAAATGAGGCATTTCATCTTAGTCCTCACGGGTGACAACGCATCTGCATTTTGTTGGATGTAGATGTCTATAGGCCACAGTAACCACTTACCATCAGGTGGATTGTGTGATCGTTTGTCACCCTATCCTATAAATAAAACAACTCAAAATATTAAAAAACTTTCTTACATCTTTCAAACATCTTACTTACTTTCAGTTTTTTACATTCTTTTGCAAGTTCTAAAATCAGCTTGGTTCCTCTAACGTTAAGAAGGACGGCTTTTTTCAATTCTTCGTCGAATCTGTAAAAGAAGTCAAAAGTACATACAACGATTTATCTTGATAAGAGAACATTACAGCGTACAAGTTATTAGTGTATGTGCCAGTTTCATTATTATTCCTGCAGGCTGTGCAAAGTTGGAAAGAGCGGGAGCGGAGTGAAGCGGGACGGTGTTGGCGACACTTTTTTAGGGTTTCGTACGGGTAACCAACGGGACCTTATTACTAAGGCTCCGCTGTCTGTCCATTTGTCTGTCAGCGGGATGTATCACATGATCCGTAATAGGTAGACAGTGGAAATTTTTACAGAATGTGTATTTCTGTTGCTGTTATAACAAAAAATAATAAAAATTAAAATAAATTCAAAGTTTAAAGGGGTTCTCCTGCTACAAACGTGTGTTACGATGGTAAGGAACCCTTCATACGCGAGTCCAACTCGCACTTATTTATAAATTTAATTGAAGTGACAAACGAACATACAGTCCACCTGATGGTACATGGTTTACTACAAGGTAAAGAGGTTTTATAGCTAAGAGCTCTCACAGAGTACCAGCGTAAAATAGCAGCTCAATGTTGCTCTGTTCCGTAAATTATACTGGCTCTCTGTGTCATTTTGACGTCATAGCTGGCCCATTTGTGAAAGGCAGTCTTTAGACATCTAAGTAAGAGAGTAAAAGAAGTAGTTGAAAAGAAAAAGCAAGAAAGAAACGATAAGAATAATAGAAGAATGTCGGATTACTTCCAGGCAAACATTAAAATGTTCTGGAACCTCGTAAGAACTGCCAAAACATTCATAATAGCCTAGAATGAATGCCATACGAGACCAGAATGGCTGTATTCTGAATGACGAAGTTTTGAGTTTAAGGAGATGGAGGGAATACTTTGAAAGCGTGTTTATGAGTGATGAGACGTTTAAATTAAATGAAATAGAAATTCCGAAAGAAGAGGAAATAGATAGACATAAGTATAAATTAAATAATGAAAGCAATGAAAAGTATGAACTGCTTTCATAAGTAAGTAAATTTCGTAAGGCAGCCGGATATGATAGAGTCTCGACTCGAAATGCTAAGGGCTGGAGAAGGAGTGGTGGCAGACCTGATGTACACCTTGTTTAATTTATGTTGGGACCTAAGCGGGTACCGGGAGACTGGTGCAAAGCCGTAATAGTCCCAATATATAATGTAAAGGATCACAGCAGGACTATAAAAACTACCGTGGTATCAGCCCTTCCCCGGTCGAGCCGACCCATTCGTGTTGCAACCACAATATAGCTACAGCATGGCTCTACCACGTTTAAAACCTCTTTTCAACTGACTTCAAAAAAGTAGGAGGTTCCCAATTCGACTGTATTTTTTTACGTGTGTTACCTCGGAACTTTTTTCTAGGTGAACCAATTTTGATGATTATTTTTTTTGAAAGCCTGTGATTCTCATGTGATCCCATATAAATTTGGTCAAGATCTCACCAGTAGTTTTTGAGTTAACCTTAAGGAATAATGCGTATTTAATTGACTTCGACTATATTCATGATGTTCTCATTTTATTTACTCGTATATTGAAGTCGGTTGTACAAAATTTTTAATTTTACCACTTGTGTGTGACTGAAGATGATATAGATTCGAAATATGAGAATCAAAGAAATTATAAATATATCTCAACTTAGGTGCTGATTGCATTTTATTTGTTTTTTTTTTATTCCTATTTCTTAGATGCTGAACCTATATTTCCAACTTTCGTTATAAATAAGGTGAAAAAAAAGAATAAGTTGTTTTTGTTAATATAACATTAAAATTTTACGTGGTAGAGCCAACAGCAGCTATATTAGAAGTATAGATGTAGCACGAATGGGTCAGCTCGGCCGGGGAAGATCCACGCTCTTACAGAATACCAACGTGAAGGCTTAACGCTGCTGTGTTTCGTATGGTGAGTGTAGGGAACCGGAGACCTTTTTTATTGGAAAAGAGGCATTCCATCTTAGTTCTCACTGGTAACAACGAATTTGCATTTTGAATCTTTATTGAGGATATATGTGGATGGGTCACAGCAACCGCTTACCATTAGGTGGACTGTGTGCTCGTTTGTCACCCTATACTATAAAAAAATACAAGTGTTATTATTTTAATATCATCATTTATTGCTGATAAATTAATTGTTTACCTGATTGTTGCAGCAGCGTGCACAATTAAATCGACTTCCTGAGTAATCATCAGCCGGTCAAGTTCGCTCAAACCTAAATCAGGTTCAATGACGTCACCGATGACAACGTGCAGCTTCGCTAGGAGTGGCGCCACTCCACCACGGAGCTCGCGGACTTTTGCAAAGAGCTGTGGAAATATTTTAACTTGTTTATGTGTTTTAAAACAAGATATGTATATCAAAGAAATATAAAACATGTGTGTTATTTTGTTAGCTTAAGTTACAGCCTTGATACGTCTCAATGCTGTACTCAGGCCTACTCTAATTTCCGAAAGAGTGATGGCACAGTAAGTCCACTGTGCTAATCCATTGCATGTTGGCGGACTCCACATGTCATCGACTAAATCTTCCTAAGACATGCAAGTTTTCTTACAATGTATTCATTCAATGCCGAGCATGTTGTAAATCATCACTTAGAATTGTAAGGAACCAAACTCCAAACCCCGGTGCCCGCGTGCTGTAAAATTTACGAGGAATGTACGCCCCTTGCCTTGCCCTTTCCTTGCCCTTGCCGTGGTTGCACATGCCACGGCTGACACTTTTTAAAAGCGTAGAACAAATCACGTAAGAAAATTGTTGATAAAAATTGGAGAATTACAAGAAATAATTTTACCGCGACTATGAATGACTATATATTATATTATGTAAGACGTAAAAAATTTAAGTAGTATATTCTATTTTTTATCAAATTAGAGTGGAAAAGGCTATTAGAATTAGAATTAGAATAGTTTGAAATCCACCAGGGCTTCAATTCGAATAACACAGTCGCTTCAAAATGGTAATGGCGTCGTTGCAGAATGATTACTTTGTATTATAGCCATTTAAGTTGTGAACATTAAAAGACGATTGTGTTGATATATTTAAAGTCTATGTTACTGTGACTACTGTAGCCGAATGCAACCGCAAATGAAATTAACTCCAAAAAAAAAGGCTTCAAATGTATTGAAATTCCTTAATATTAATACCACTAAAACCACACCAACCCACACCATACCATAAACATACCATGGCTCATTTTGCTATAATCGCTACATGTAACCTACAATAAACGTGCAGGATTGAATTAGGTTTGGTATATTTTGAAAAAAAAAATAAAGAAGTATTTTCATTCAACACGTTGAATGATTATTCGATTCAGACGACACCTATAAGATCAATCTTTTCTATTGCTTTTTGAATTATTTACTGGCTCTTACAAAAGTTCAAACCTATATACATAATATTCCTCACACATGCCTCCGCTTATTTCTGAATGGGTTATGACTCATACAAGCATTTAATGAAAAACATAAACAAGGCATATGAAATACATAAATCTAAGACGATTTTATTCATTACAAATTTGTAATGAAATAGCTTTTACTAATAGTTATAGCTGATTGGTACGCTTCGCTACGAATCCTTGGCTTATATATTTACCGTCATTCGTTAGCAACCATCATATAAGTATGACATATTACTAAACGCACAAATGATTCAGTCAGACGTATGTCATACGACACTTTTGCAACTAACACGAGAAGGGTACACGAAATAAAATGTTGCCTAACTATACCGCATGTTGCTACACGTTTAGGCGCTTTGTTATTGCCTAAGAAATTATGCGTTGATCGACCTTATGTATGCTTAGCGATTAAAGTATCATAACATGCGTGGGTTCCGGCTGAGGCCGTGGCCAACATTTGTGCAAAAATGCAAAATGCTCGTTATAGAATCTGCAGTGCGATTGCGTAAATAACGAAAACACTACGCAACTGCGTTATTTTTTTAGGGTTTCGTACGTCATAGGGTGAAAACGGTACCCTCATAAGATAATTTTTTGTCCAACCATCCGTCTTCTATCCATCTGTTAAGGCTCTTTTCATTTCATTATAAATGGGTAGAGCTAACAAGTAGATAATTTAAAATTATAAATTTTGTGCAACCGACTTTAATATAAATTATTAATAATAATAATAATTAATAATAATAATTCATTTATTTCAGACCAATTATCCATATTTGTTAAAAATTATACCTAATCTAAATATCTAAAATATTAAAGAAAATTAAAATTAATAAATGTAAACATTAAATAAAATTAAAATTCCAATTAAAAAAAAGTACTCTAGGTCGTGGCGTGTCTAATTTACAGTATGCAGATTTATCCAACGCCCTAACATTGGTGAATTCAATTATTAAGAATAACTCAAAAACTATTGGTCAGACCTTGATCAATTTATATGGGACCACATGGGAAGCACAATCCTTTCAAATAAAAGAAGAATGGTTGAAATCGGTTCACCCAGTAAGAAGTTATGAGAAAACACACGTAAAAAAAACATACAGTTGAATTGAGTACCGGCTCCTTTTTGAAGGCGGTAGAAAATAATATCAAATACTGAATTGTGTCTTGGTCCATTGGATATGTAAAAAATTAACACGCATTCAAAAAATACGATAATTTATATCACATATTTCGGTACTCGCAAACTCACTCTTAAAACGCTAAGTGTAAGCCTATACGATACTTCCCGTTTAAGAATTATGAAATTTAGCAAGAAGCAAGGTAACACCGCACAAGTAAATTAAATATAACACATAAAAGATATACTTTGGGATTACAAAGTTATATTTGCAGTTGAAGCATCGACCGTGATGTAAATCGAAGTTTGGGTGAACATTTATTTCACTACAAATTTACCTTCGTACTCAATTCGACTGTATTTTTTATGTTTCTTTTATTTATTTTAAAAACGTTACCCCCACACTAGGATTTTCTTCTGTATCGTGGAAGCAGTTTACACACACAAATTGCACAAGGACAAACATCTAGACCCGGAACAATTGTTTTTAGGCCATACAAATACTATTTCCGTGCGGGATTCGAACCCACGGCCCCCAGGGCAGCAACTCACTGCTAAGCCACTGCGCCACGGAGCTGTCTTGTTTGTTTTAACTTTATTCTAGGTAAACCGATTTTGATGATTCTTTTTTATTTGAAAGCTGATACTTCCCATGTGGTTTCATATAAATTTGATCAAGGTCTGACTAGTAGTTTTTGAGTTATCCTTAATAATTTATATTGAAGTCGGTTGTACATTTTTTTTTAATTTTACCACTTGTTGTTAGAGTAGTGTTCCCGAACAAACTGGTTTCCGAAAACGCTTTTTTTATACCAAAGATCACAACTATACTCTTCGGTACATCATACAAAGGACTGAAGAGTACAATCTGTCACTTTGTCTTGCGTATGAGGATTAGGAGAAAGTCTATAATATTAATCCGTCGTAATTTTGGCAGTACTTTAGTCTCTTCAGCTAACCAAATTAATTGTCGGTAAATCTAGGTGGCGAGGTTTTCTTCTCCGACGTTTGTCGGTTTTTGAGCTATATGGCCGACGTCAGATACGATGATGTTCGATTAAAATTTTTGCGGACAAAGTTAAAGATATTTATTGCGAATGAACATTATGACAAACATTAGTGTACAAACAAAATTAAACATAAGTTTAGCAGGCTAATTTAAAGTTTATTTTTATACTAAAATTAGCTGTTATATTATGTAAATAACAACTCTTTAAAAATAACGGCTTGTAATAATATTTTTTTAATTGGAAAAATATTACAGAAAGTCAAAATAACATTTAGAGTTTGCAACACAGTGTGCACATTATCTCGATAATTTTAGCTGCAACTTAATATAATACGTGAATATACGAGTATTTCGTATCTGAGATAACTTATCATTGAGAGCGAAAGTTGTATTTCTGGATATTTTGATTTGAACCTTTGATATATAGTCAAATAACTTTGAATGTAGACTATTTACTACAAGACATATTTCATTAATATCTCTAATGTTTTAGTTTTTTAATATTTGTTACCTAATATCGTTTTGGGTCCACTGCGTAGTTAAGCCTTATCAAAGTATGATATGGCCCAAATTTTGAAAGACTGTATTTCGGTCTCGGCGGCCAGTCTCAAAGAAGACGAGCCACCTTTATAGAACGTACGAAAGATCTGCGCAAGAACAGGTACACTCTCATAATGCGGTGCAAGGATAATCCGACAAGGCCAGAGAGATCAGGCGAAGTACGAATGAGCTTTACGTGCATTTCGAGGAACGGTGAAGTTGGGGAAGAAATACCCCCAACTTGCTAACTCCGGGCTGTTACTAAGAATTTATTGAAAGAAAACCCAATTGATTGATGCCAGCTTAGTCCGATTTCCCGATTCGAAAGCAGTCAAAGTAAGATAAAATTGCTCACATTAGCAAAGTAGTGTAGAGCCAGACTAATAATAATTTATTCAGTTGTGAGAATTCAATAAAAAGCAACGCAAATCAACTTACAAAACGTGACTCTCATTGTTTCAAGCTAACACTATTTACAAGTAGTTGCAAAACAGTAAGAGCAATGAACTCAGTAACGACTGAGTGTAGGTCTAGCTCAAATCTAGTTCTGACTTCGGTATTTAGCCGACTTCAAAATGAGGGAGGTTGTCAATTCGACTGTTCATTGATTTTTTGGATTTAAATAATTTTCATATAAATCAAATCATTTTGGGATAGTATAAAAAGCTTTGTATTTTAACAAAGAAATAGATGATGAAAGCACAGTTATGTCTACAGGTACATACATTTTATAAATTATTATTTTAAAAAGAAAACTTTTTAAGGGTATCTGATCTGAGCGCCCGAAACCATTTTATGCCATTAACATCAAAAATTATCCAATATTTTTTTTTATATTTGACAGCATACAAGCTTGATCTCCAGGGACTTGCGCAATTTCTATACAGCTCGTAATGAAGAGCGATCGAGCGGAACCAGGGCTCTAAAGTCTTTGCCAGAGATCTGTCTGCCAGAAAGAGCCAACTGTTGAAGCTGAGGACCGAATGTGGCAGCATAATTTCCGGGACACCTAGGATTTTGAGTGAGATTTAGAAGTTCTATGGGCAGCTGTACACAACATCGTTGGAGCCACATGCAAGTGTGAGTAACAATCCAAGAGCAAGTTTTATCCGACACTATTCCGATGATATCCCAATAGATGGAGTGACGACCTGGTAAGACATGCAGGAAGTCAATGGATGCAGGTGGCTCGGGACCGTGTTTTGTTGCATTCCTTCGGAGAAGCCTATCCTCA